CCTGAGGCACCTCCTTCGCACACTCACTCAGATGATGTCAAAAGGCCTTTGAGCTCCCTCAGACCACCTGTCAGTCCGAGAGGTGAAAACTACCTTGGCCTGGACCTGCCCTTCAGTCCCCAAAGCACTTGTGCTCTGGCCCCCTGGCCCTGGAGGGTGGGAGGTGGCAGGGCCAGCAGAACAGCTAGGCTTGGCCTCCCTGCCACCAGGCCCACCTCCTGATGGGGGGAAGGCAGGCATGAGTGCTGTGAGGCTGGAGCCAGAAGGGCTGCCACCCAGGCCCCTGGGAGCAGCACCTCCCTCCCAACCCCACCGCCTGCTGTCACCGGCCCCTCCCAATCGCCTTCCGAGGTGCCAGGAGCGGAACAGCACGTGTGGCGTGAAGGAGTCCGCCTGAGTTGGCTGCAGGCTTGACATGCATCCTGTGTTTGCAGAAGCTGAGCTGCTAAGGCTTAGGGAGAAGTGGGAAGGAGGGAGGGAGGAAATTGGGGGTTTTATCACCCTAGGCTGGAAGGGAAAGAGGGGTGGGGAGGAAGAGGCAAATCAGGTCTCTGAGCAAGGTGGAAAGCTGAGCCCTCACCCCACCTCACCCCAACCCCCCGCCCCAGGCCCCCAGGAATCACTAGCACTGCCAGGGCAGCGGGAGCCTTGGGTGGGGTCCAGGACGCCCCGCAGACAACAGCAGGCAGCTGATATCCCGGAAAGAGACCTGGACTCTGAAATCCGGGTTCAAATCTCAGTCCGCCCTTAACTAGTTGTGTAATCTGGGCCAAATATCACCGCTCTGAGGTTTGGTTTCTTCAGTTGCATTAAACAAAGGCAACAATAAAATACAGTAAGTCCTCACTTATCCTCGAAAGGTTCTGTGACTTTAAGGGAAACTGTGCATAACGAGACTACTTTTACCACAGGCTAATTGATATAAACAAGAGTTAAGTTCCTACGGCAACATTGTGCGCTATAATGAAAGGATGTTGAACCAAACAACGTTTATTTGAGGACCTGCTGTACTTAATGCCACAGAACTGTACACTTAAAAATGGTTCAAATGCTAAGTATATATTTTACCACAATAAAAAGGCAACAAATTGCCACCTCCTAGGGCTGACATCTATAAGGCAGGTGCTCTGAGATGGAACACATAGCGGGCAAAGCCCTTCAGGTGTATGTGTGTGTGCGGGGAGGGGGGGGGGGGGTTTACACTATAGCGAAGTGTAATAAAATCACCCCAAAAGGCCTTCGTTAAAACCTGAGCTCTCCACGGCACTTGTCCCCCAGACCTATGTGCTTAGCGGTCCGTGTTTAGGCCTGTCTTCTCCCACCGGAATGCAAACTTCATGACAGCAGGGTCTCCCAGGGCTCTGCCCACGGCTGCGTGCCCAGGACCAGGATGGCTCCAGGCTCAGAGCAGGTACTGAGGAAATGTGTTGAAGGACTATTTACACGCTTCCCTCCAGGAGCACATGCGCACATTCACACCCTGCCAAGTCCAGACCACCTCCCCGGAGCTGGGTTCCACCCTCTGCTGGTGTCCCGCCCAGGGCCCAGACACCGCCTCCACTAGCTGGCAAGGGGAACTGGGTTCCTGGATCCCCTCAGGCAGGGTGGCTGCTCCCCTCTCCTTCCCTGAGCCTGGACTTGCAAGGAGAGGTGAGTTAAATTCCTTGGAGAGCAAAGGTCAAGGAGGAAGGACTGAGCAAGACCCCAGCATTACCTGCTCTCTTGCTTTGGGGGGGTAACAGCACTACCCCAATAGTCTCCTGACCACTAACTGCTCCCAGGACCCCGCATGGCCGGCTGGTCTTCCTTCTGTGCCTCTACTCCCCTGTCCTCTCACTCTGGGCTGATCTCCTCCCACTGGGGAAAAATTCTGACTGATGAGAACAGTTCAAATGTCACCTTCTAGGCCAGTGGTTCTCAACCTTCTGGCCCTTTAAATACAGTTCCTCATGTGATGACCCAACCATAAAATTATTTTCGTTGCTACTTCCTAACTGTAATGTTGCTACTGTTATGAATCGTAATGTAAATATCTGATATGCAGGATGGTCTTAGGCGACCCCTGTGAAAGGGTCGTTCGACCGCCAAAGGGGTCGCGAGCCACAGGTTGAGAACTGCTGTTCTAGGCGAAGCTGTCCCTCTCCCCCAGGCTTTCCCAACTCCAGATCTCGGGACTCTGGCTCAGCATTCCCCTTACACACAGCCATCTCTCCTGGAGCCCGCGAGGCCCAGGCCACACCATCCGGCCATGGTACATGCCCAGTAAGTTCACTGCTCTGTGGATCCGCAATGCCCACCCTGCAACAGGGGAAAGGGCATGAGTCAAAAACCCCAGGCTGTCTTTTACTGGGCTGGTCCTTAACCACATCACTCTCTGAACCTCAGTCTCCTCATCTAAATAACGGGGACAGGACAATATAGTGCCCACATCACAGAGCTCTTAAAAGGGATTAGAAATAACACATGCAAAGTGCCTGTGCCTCATTAACAGCAGCTATTACTACCATTAGGGGCCGTGGGTACAGGGCTAGAGGCGGGGCACTGGGCCGGACATGTGCAGGCAGGCCCAGCACACGGCACTGCTGCCCAAACGGAGGGCTCCATCGGTACTGCTGGGGCGGAGGATGGGCTCTGGCTCAGGGAGCTGACCCAGGATGGCACAGATTAGGCCCTCCTGTAAGTCCAGGCTCGATGACCCATGCCCTCAGCCTCGGGACAGTTGGCTGACTGGCCCCTACTCTGCCCCACCCACCGAGGGTTTGGGAAGTTTCCTGGACAAGTAGGAGTTCAAAGAGAGGACATGGCGGCAGTGACAAATGAGATTGCAAAGCCGAGGCCAGAGTCCCGTTTCTCCCTTCCTTCTGGGGAAGTGGACAGGAAAGAGTCAACCAAAACAGAAACTATAGTCATCACTACCCGCTCCCCTCCCCAGCCCGGAGGTTCTGACGGAACAGTTTACTGGAAAACCCTAACAAACGGAGATCCACTCAGCCCTCCTGCCCCCTCCACGTGCCAGGCCCTGTTAAATGGCAGGATGCCCCCAGCTCCGTGATTCTATGACCCTGGCCTCCTCGGGGGCTGGTGAGTCAGGCCCTACCCCAAACCCTTATTTCTGTTGGATAAAACCTGGGGCTAATGAGATCAAGTCCTTGAGGTCAGTCTGGAAAGGGCCAGTCATCTTCCGGGAAAGATCTCAGTCCCCATCAGCCCACTCGAGGGAAGGTCCCCTGCAGGGGTGGGGGTGGTGCCACTCAGACTCCTCCCAGCACCAGCCCTGATGAGACAGAAGCCAGGATCAGTCACTTACCAGCCAGAAAAAGTTCACGATGGGGATACACCATTGATCAGATGTGATGGCCTCCCTGTCCCTTGTCCCGATAATGTGGCTGCTATTTTGGGGGCTAGGACTCTGAGAACACAACTACGGACCCGGAGTCAGGAGGTAGTTCTTAAGTCCCTCATGAGTGACCTGACCCTTCCCTGCCACGTCTCAACTTGCTCATCTATAAAATGGAGCCAACAATCTCTGCCACGCGATAGAACAAGTATGAGCTGTCAAATGTACAGGATTTTTGTCTTACCTGCAAAAGCCTAAGTGTGAGAGAGCCCAAATGAATGCAGCACACACATGCTAGCGCCTACAATGTGCCAGACATGGCTGGTCCCTGGGGACACTCAGCAGGTCCTGGTCTGGTAAGGGAGGCTGACAGATAAATAATAAACAGTGCTACGCTGTGATCAGCGCTTTTAGGGAAGAAGGAACAAAAAGAGGACTGTGGGTTCCAGAAAGAGGAGCATCTGACCCAGGCTCGAGCGCATGAGGTTGGGAAAGCCACAGGGAGCAGCAGCCATCTGACCTAGGCCTTGAAGCATCTATGCATCTATTCCTGGAGGCAAGGAGGATGAGCATTCCAGGCAAGCCAAACAACCTGAGCAAAGGCCCAGTCTCTGGTCTAAAGCACAGACCCTGCCCACAGGCTGAGCCTACCCCAGGGGGCTTGCCCCCAGATACCTGGTACCAGGCCTCTGGACCACCCCAGGGCAAGGTGCCTGCAGGCTCCTAACCCAAGGGGCTCTTCCTCACTTGGCCAATGCCGGGAGCCGGTCCATCCTTGCTGTTTCAAGGGACCTGGCGTATATGGCATACTGTTCTTAATATGTTTGCTCACCTTCTTGGCGCTATGTGTTTTAACCAAGGTCACCTCTCCGAGAAAGGTTGTTTCCCCAGGTAGGGATTTTTCCCTGAAGTTAGGGAGGGGATAAAACCCCTTAACTAAGTGCCAGGCAGGTAGTTAATCACTTTAACTAC